GGATGGATGGATGGATGGATGGATGGATGGATGGATGGATGGATGGACAAGGATCCCAGCAACAGAGAGGCATGAATGATCAAACAAGTGGGGAATGTGAACAAACCAGAAAAATGATTCTCTGTATAAATAAAGGCAAAATGAAGGTTATTTTATCTGAGAAAACCAGCATCAAAGAAGGAGGGCACATGAGTTTGTTTTTCTCAAAACCCTTGGTAGACAATATTTCTTTTATCTGACCTTTATCGGGTACTGAAAGATAAAGGAAAGGCAGTTAGATAGCACTAGAGGTGAAGTATTTTTTTAATCTTCAACGGAAGGCATTTCATCTGCTATAAAAACAATTAAAAAATTGAAAGTTTATAGTTAAATACCACTATGCTAAAGATAATATACTGTCAACTCCAGAGCTTCAGTACGTTCTGATACTGATACCTGACACAATTTTAATGCTAACAAACAAGGATGTGGAACAAGAACATGAACCATGTGCAGTTTCCCCCTGTTTGAAGCTCCCTGAGGATTTGTCTGAATTCATCAGTCAGAGAAAGGCTGCAACAAGAGCAGCAAAGCCAATTATTAAAAATTGCAGAGCAGAAGACTGTGGTGCTGCTGGTCTGCTCTGCTGAAGGTAATTCATTAGGGGGGGGCATGTTTTATCTACCTGCGTTCGGCCTATATTCAACCTCCCACAGCTGTGTGGAATATATTTCTGACCCTGGTTTTTACATAATGACATCTGTAGCTCCCTAACACTTTCCATATTCAAATGGTCCAAAAAATCATTTCGGGTTTATAGAGGTTTCTGTAATCATTCGTTTCCGCTGTATTCACTTGAATTTGATTTATAATGCTGTTGCTACTTTGTATCTGTTTTTTGCTCTGCTATTTACTGCTGTAGCTGTCTGACTCTTTAACTGAACTTACATTGCTGATCTGTAGATGGCAGTGATAGCATAAGTATACATGAACAGCATATCTTTGGGTGTACTATATATATTTTTTGCCTTTTCCCCCTTATTTCAATATATACAGGATTGTGTTGTGGGATTTTTTCGTAACTTCTATTTAGAATGTCACTTTTAGCAGACAATATTCTACAAACTACATAGACATGTGGTTTTTTTAAACATCAGATTTGCTTTTTTTTATATATCAGAAATGTCCTAAATGGTCAAAGCATTATCCTGGAGTTTTCAGCAGCCCCTGAGAGTCCCCCTGCATTCCCTGTGGCTAAGCCCTGCACAAAGCAACCATTGTGAGGCAGCTTTTTAAATCCTTCCCAGTTGCTGAAAAAGCCCAGCATTCAACAACTCCCAGTAAAAATCAGTGCCAGGGCCAAACATCACAGACTGGAATCTTGTCTGAGGCCTGTTAATTCATATAGGATTTGTTCAGGAGGTATGCTTGCGGTTTTTTTGTTTGTCACTCTGCCAGGCTTCTGAGACAGGGCTGACCTATTTACCAAATTGCACTGTCACAAACAGATAGATATAGCCTGCTTGAAAAATGCTGTTACTGCGACGACTGGGGTTCAAACAACTAGGGCAATATACATTTACACCTACAGCTGGAAAGCATCACAAGATTAGAGACAGACGCATTTCTGTAAATATGGCATTTACAAGCTCATTGTTGTTACATTACCCCTTAAGTGAAGACACAGTTAGTTTTCTCTTTAAGCACAGACAGTCTAGTGGAGCACCTATGGAGATTTTACATTTTTACATCTATTTTGAAAAGAAAGTGGGTATGCAAGACAGTGACTCAAAAGGGGACATCAAATGACAAAAGATTTGAAATCTTTTGCTAAGTTTTGGAAATAAAGCTGCAAAAGCCTCTCAGTTGCATGCTCCAGTGCTAGGAGGATTCCTTGTTTCATTATTTGTTTTGTTTAATTAATTGGGGTGACCGGGGGGAGCCATTCATAAGAGTCCTTATCTACATCTTATCAGGCACTTTTTTTACACATGCATTTTTTCTTGGGTGTTTATTTTTTTATTTGACTTACAGCTGTCTGCGAAGCCTGTGATTTGCAAATAGCCTACCATTGTTATTCCGAAAGCCTTATGTAATGAGGTTAAGTTCAGGTCAGCTGGATTATGAAGTTAAAACTGTGCCAAACGAGACTGGGCACCCACCTGGGACGCAGTGGGGCAACTCCTGGAGGTGGAGGCTGGGCCGCAGACGCAACTCCACACACACACACACACACTGAAGTGGGTGGGTGGGGGTGGGGGGGGGGGGGGAA